TTGATCCTGAGAAATTTACTTAAATTACATAATACCACATACACATTAGACCAAAGTTCCTCAAACATTAGTAGGCTCTGGTATCAATTTATTGGCACAAACCCAGCATTTTATAAAAGATGAGCTACATTAGACAGAATAGAAAATATCAGCATGTATCACGTTATGTATTGTTTTATGGAACTTGTGTTTCGGTTTGTGTATGTGCCTGGGGAGGAGGGTGTGTGTGTGGACGCCATAATGTAAAATGGATTTCTTATCGTGGGTTAAAGCCAAAACCACCTGCAAAAATGCCAAGACCGTACTACTAAGTCCAGAGACCCAAGTTAGACCAAATCAGGAGAGAATGAACGGACAAGCCTTTTCAGTGCTATAAGAATCCTTGGATACTTATTTACAACAAATAAACAAATAGAAAAGCTGGTAAAAGCCAAGGCTGAACTAGCAGAAGCAGAACGGCTATCAGAGTTGTCCTACAGATACACGCAGCTTACACAATGGAAAATCCTCAAAAACGTTCCCTCTTTACATCTGGAACTGTTTGTTCTGATTCTATTGTCAGGGCTGGTATGCATTTCCCTGTTCTATATGAGAAGAATGGAAAACAATTTACTTTTGATTAGGTATATTTTTTGTTCCAGAAGTTATTGCCTTTTATGTAAGTTCAAAAATTCTTTACCGAATTTATGGAACTTTCAAAGACTTGTCAGGACAGGATATGGCACAGTATGTATGCTCGATAAATATTTATTATCCCGAGTGTTTATTGTTACAGAGCCGGTTAAAGGGGACATGCCCCTTCAGATCTTGGTACCCCCTACAAGGCTGGGAGCAGAGGAAGGGCTGGGAGTGGTGGGCTCACACTATGGGGACAGGATCTAATCTACCCTCCTTATAAAGAGGAGTTTTAGATTCATATCCAGTTTTAGATTCCTGCCGGAAAGGCTGGGGCTGGGTCCCTGGGGTGAGGAGCCTTTCTGGCAAATAAGGAGAAGAGCAGCACTCATTCTTTGCATCAAGTAGCCCTCAGCTGTCCCTGAGAGGCTGGGACACACTAGAATATTAGCAAGATGCTCAGATATTACCTCATTTAATCCTTACAACAATTCTTGGTAGTAGATACTATTATGAGCCTCATTTTACAGATAAGGAAACTGAGGCACAGAGAGGTTATAAGACTTGTCTACACACAGCTAATAAATGGGAGAGCTGGGATTCAAATCCACGTAGCTGGCTTTAGTATCTGCTCTTAATCAAATACTGAAGCTGCCTCTATGGGCTTATGCTCTTTTCAGTCTGAAATATTCAGGTATTCTCCTAGGTTGTAGAAGGAACTGTTTTTTTTTTAATTACTAGTTGCAATTTCTTTTTTTTTTCCCCTTTAGTGACTAATTAGGCTGAGAAATCTCTGTTAAATTGAATCTTGATAGATTTGCTGAGTCTTCATCTCTACAGAAGAGAGAGACACAGATATAATTAGTAAAATAACCTGCCATGGTCAGATTCACAATCAACTCCTTCGACTTTGCAATCTGGGGGCTAACACTAGAACCTAGACTCAGAGAGGTTTCTTTGCACCCACTAAAGAAGTGTGTTCTTTGCTGCTTGCGAGGCAGTATATCGGGAAGGTAAGTCCATCATGCCTGCTCCCTCTGTGAAGTGGAGAAAGGCTTATAGCACTGTCTACCATTGAGAAAATGAGCACAAGGAAAAAAAGATAAATCCTAGAAAACCAGGCAACAGCTAAAATCCCAATTCTGTTTGCCGTATCTGTGGTAGCAAAATGCTGCGCTTCTGTGTAGGACGGTGTCCCGGGCCACGCGTCTGCTGCGAGGGCACGTGGAGCCCTGGGCCCAGGAGCTGTCCCGCCCTGCCTCCTCTGCAGTTCTGACTCTGTTTCTCCATTTGCAAACTACAAATTCTAGCACCCAAAGGAACACTAGAGGCCAGTTAGCTCAATTCCTTCATTTCACAGCTGAAAAAAACTGAAGTCAACTTTGGAGACAATAAGCATGTCAGGGAGGGAAAAAGAAAGTGGAATACCAGGGTGGAGAGGTGAGGATTTCTGCCCCATTTCACAATGGGAGGATCTTCAGTGTTTAGTTTAGACTTTTCTCCATTTTCCAAATTTCCCGTGGTAATTCTACTAGTCCAAAACAGAGTCACTCCCAACTGTCCACTTCTTTTCCTCCAGACCCCACGTAATTCTCAAAATCCTACCTAAAAACCATATTAGTGTCAAGTCATCTTCAGCTGTCCGGTATCTCTCAAAGTCAGAGATCCATGGACTTGTCTTTTTCCTCTCACTTACTCTCCTTTATTTCAGGCTATGAAAAGAGGGCCATCCCCCTTAGCCCACGTGAACTGAAAAAACTCAATCGCTCTATAGTATTGCTCCATTTATAACAGGAGCAAACATGCATTGGTTAACCAGTTGCCATCGAGTCGACTCCGACTCATGGAGACCCCATGTGTGTCAGAGTAGAACTGTGCTCTACAGGGTTTTCAATGGCTGATTTTTCAGAAGTAGATCACCAGGCCTTTCTTCTGAGGCACCTCTGGGTGGACTTCAACTGCCAACCTTTTGGTTAGCAGCTTAGCACATTAACCCTTTGCACCACCTAGGGACTCCATATACGTATTGGGTTAGCCATGTTCTAAGAGCTTTCCAGACACTATAACTCATTTAACCTTTACAAGAATTCTATGAGGTGAGTAATATGATCCCCATTATACAGATCCCGAAGGCTGAGGCACACAAAAGTTACGGCTGTGCCCCAGGGCCCACAAAACCTGTAAGCATTGCTAGGGATCAAGAGGTTCCACAATGACTGGTTTCCTGAAAACTTGCTTTTGTCTCTTCAGGGGCAGACCATTTCATTTTGAATGAAAAATCACAATCACATCAGTCACCGTTCTGAAAGTCCTGTAATGTTTGGGCGTGGAGCTCTGGGCTGCCCAGGGGGACTTTTGTTTTTGTCATTTTCCCACCTGCCAGTTGCTATCCACCGTTGCTTCTCAGCTCTCCAAGGGCCTGCTTTTAGCACCTGCTTCACCCCAACCCCTAGTTCTACTGTGTGGTTTCCAACCCCTTGTGTGTTGGGAAATCAAGCCACTTAGCAATGGCATTCTGAATTTAAAACAAAACAAAACGAAAACATAGCTTTCTTTCTTTCTGACTTGTAACTCCTTCTTGAAAAAATAAATGAAAAATCGTGGCAGAAAGAGCCGGTGGGCATTCTGATGTGCAGCACCACCAGTAAAGGGCACGGATCTTAGCAAAAGTGCTCACGCAGCAGTGACTTTTTCCACTTCTTCCAGGTGGTTACTCATTCTGGACAGTTACCAGCACAGGCCTGCTGGATCATTGGGGTTATTTACTGACAGATTCTCATTTCACCCATGTGCCCACAGACAAGACAGGAGCGGGCCCCTGCCTTTGCCAGAGAACATGCCCACAGTCACATAAAATCAGCATCAATGAAGTTTCCTTGAAGGAAGCAATTTAAAAAAATTGACCCAGAGACTCCCCAGACCCAGGAAGCATTTCCAAGTGGCTTAGACCTCAGTTTCCTCTCATAAACTGCTCACCATGAAAGCCTAATCTGAGCGGCTGCACACACACGCACGCACACACGCGAAAACACAAGCACGCACACTGTCCGTCACTGAAGGGGCACAGCCCCCTGGTTGGAGGAAGTGTGTGTCTGTCCTCACTCAGTTATACTCCTACCTCGTTCCTCTTTTGGCCCAGAGCAAACATTTCTAAGACAGACTAGACTAGAATGTAGCTAACAGATACGTATCTTTGGCTTCTTTAAATGGCGCGTTGACTTGGAGGGACAAGTGCGAGAAATAGAGACAACCCGGAACCATGGGTAGGAGATGCATATTCCTTCTAATCCCTTTTTCAATAAACCACTCAGTGACCTTGAGCAAATCACTTAATCTCTCAGTGTCTCAGTTTCCTCAGTTGTAAAATAGGATTATACCACCTACCCTACTTTTATCCCTCAACGGATGGATTACATGAAGTTGGCTGTTGAAAGCATTATGAAACACTACCTATTCTGAACAAGCAATGACAAGGCCTCTTTTAAACCTTGCCCTGCATCTGCAGCCCAAGTCGTTGAAACGCCGGCACCTACGCTGATCCGATAAGCCACGGCACTGGGTCACCACTCACTTTAGATGCAGGAGCTGAAGGGGCTTGGGCCTAAAACCAGAAAACCTTTCTGGGGTGGGTAGTAATGAGGAAACAGTTCCATCCCCACTGTTGCACCCGTTTTTGGCTACTGCCCCTCGAGATAAAAGAATGCTGTCCCTCTGAGTTACCAGAAGCAGGTCAGAGCTGAACATCCATACTCCCTTCCTGGGCCACTGTTCCCAGAGGGAAAGAATCCTTTAACCCCATCATTCCTTCCCTCCCAGGGAGAGCTGATGTTGCAACCTTTTTTTTTTATTTTCAGCACTCACCTAAAAGTAAATCCCCAAACTTTAAGGATCTCTAAAGACTCCAAACATCAAGCTGCCATACACTGAACAAAGGCCGTGATCTCATCAAAATCCTAATGGGCCACCACTCCTGCCCACTAGGCTTTTGGTAAAAATGGTTTGGTCTCCATCATCAGAAATCTTCATCAAGGCAAATGCCCTGGACTTTTTTTTTAAACAACCTCTCTCTTAAGTAGCAGACCAAAAAAAAACCAAACCTGTTGCCGTCGAGTTCATTCTGACTCATATCAACAGTATAGGGCAGAGTAGAACTTCCCCACAGGGTTTCTAAGGCGCAGCTGGTGGATTCAAACTGCTGACCTTTTTGGTTAGCAGTGGAACACTTAACCACTGCGCCACCAGGGCTCTAAGTAGCAGACAGTCATCACATTTTCCAGAGGGAAAAATGGAAACAGCAGGAAGTCAAGTCACTTTGCTCAGGGTTTGCTGTTTCCACAGCCCAAGCAATGAGGAGCTCTGCCTCAATGACTCAAGACAAAACATACCTCCAAGGCTCAGAATCCGGAATCATGGGAAACCTGGAGTGGGAGCTAGCTGGACTCCTCATTCAGCTGAACCTGGCTGGGTCAGCAGATGCCTCCAGGCTGCAGTTCTCCCGTCTGTGAACTCGGGGCTAACTGAGAAACCATGAGAGGCTGAGGCTTTGAAGAATCCAAAGGAACTACACTACATCATCTCAAGGGATGAAATGCAACTTTTAAGAGTCACAAAAAGCAGGCGAAGCCAAGTAAGATACTTCTCTCTCCCTCCTGGATGAAACTCACACCTTCCCCACAAATAGAGTCCCTTGAAACTGCCATGGACCTTTGGGTGGACAGCAACCTGTCCTAAGCCTCCAGGAGAGGAATGTTTCTGGGCAGTAGGTCCCATACAACTAACTCCAGTCCTGTAATCCTTGGGTCCACTGTCAGCTTCCTCCAAGCCCAAGCCCTGAAACATAGAAGGCCCCACATTACAAGAGGGACCTCCAACAGGCAGTTTAACCAATGCTCCAGAAGCTTTCCCGCCCAGTGGGTACAGAATGGGATGAAGACATTCGGGGGTGGTCGGAATGTTTTTTTACTGATGAAAGCAATATAAGAGTATTAAGGAGCCAAGAACAGGTGGGACGGCTGACTCTTTCCTAAGACACATTCCCACCTAACGGTAATACTGCTTCTTACCAAGAGATGCGGCCCAACTACTTGACATTGTTCTGTGCGCCCTGGTTGATGTTTGCAAAGGTGTGGTCTGCGCTCAAAGACTCCAGATGTTACTTTGATATTTTCAAAAATGTTAAAGGCTATCAGCAGCCAATTAAGAATTAACCCTTAAGAGTATATAATATGCTGTTTGTGTGTATGACCCGGAATGCAAGGAAAGCTGGCGTGTCCCAATGCGCCCTCGGCGAAGCGGGGAAGCTTTACCTGGCCAGGTCAAGGAAAGAGTCCACCGTCTCTTTGGGGACAGGAGGAAGTCCCGACTCATCCAGCCCCAGGTCGCTGGACTGAAGAGTCTGCGCGCCGGACCCTGGCTTGATGATGAACGCCAAAGCGACAGCGAGCGCCGAGGCGCCCAGCGTGGTGAGGCCAAAGTAGGCGACAGCGATGCCGCCCAGGCGCCCGAGGGAGCTGGCGTCCAGGGAGGCGGCGCCCGACACCAGGCTGCAGACCACCAGCGGCAGGATGATCATGCGCAGCATGCGGAGCAGCATCTCGCCGGGGAAGGCCAGGTAAGAGACCTGCGTGCGGCTCAGCCTGAGCCCGCGCAGGGCCGTGCCCAGCCCCGCGCCCGCCAGCACCCCGGACACGGTGAGCAGTACCAGCGCGTGGCGCCGCAAAAAGCCGGCGCAGCGCCGCGCCCATCCCGCTCCCTCCCGGGGGGCACCGGGCCCCGCCTGGGCGCCGTCGAGGTAGCCGTTGGTCTCGCTGCCCTTCTCCATGGCGGGGCCCGCAGCTCTGCGGTGGAGGAGGCGGGGGACTTGGGCTCTGGGAAAAGACCGCACTCTCCCAAGGGTTGGAGTCGGTGGAGCTGGCGAGGTCGGCCTGCTGTGCCCGCGGATTCTAGGAGCTGGCCTGCTACAGTCCCCTGACCTGGGCGCAGAGGCACGTGCAGGGAGGGCGATGAGAGGTGCGGGAGCCCCTGGCAGAGCGGAGCGTGGCGCGACCAGCCTTCCCAGAGCAGCCTCCAGCTGGAGATGATGCAACGCGGGACCCGCGAGGGAGGACGCAGGGGGAGGGACCAGGAAGCGACCTGAGCCTGTCCCCTTCACACCCGGCGCCCCGCCCCTCGCGGCTTCGGCCAATCAGCGCCCGGGAGCCCGCCCCACCGCCCTCGCGGGGGAGGGGCGCCGGGCCTGGGGCGCTGCCCCGAGCCGACCCCGCGGGCGACGCTGTGGAATTCCGGCACCCGCAGCCACCTCCCCAGCCCGGCTTAGGGGGGCCAGCTCCGGGCGACCGCGGGATGGCGCGGCCTGACGAACGGCCCCGGCTCGTTGGCACCTGCCGGGGCGGCTCGGGCCGGCTGGGGTCTGGGCCCGGGAGAATGTGGAACGCAGCCGCGTTCCTCGTCCTGGGGACTGGGGGAGGGGCGGGGGTCCTCTCCAGGGTGGGTGCTGTCGCCCCCTCGCGCTCCGCGGTCCACTCGAGAGCTCCCGGCCTTTCCCGCGAAGGGGCTGCGCACTGTGAGGGCCCGCAGCGGCGTCCTCCCGCCGCGTTCTCCTCCTGGATAAAATTCCTTCCTCGAGGGGTCCTGTGGGGTTGCGTGAGATCAAGTACACCACGGTGCGCAGCACAGGCCCTGGCCCTGAAACAAAGGATGCTTGAAGAATGAATGAATGAATGGGAGACGCCTCAGCACTCTCTCATTAAAGGCTCCATGGTAATACCAAACTCAGCGGCCGGGTCGCACCACTGCGCGCACCGGGGGCTCCGAGAGGGTGAGTTGGGTCCAGCCGGATGGGCCCTGGTCGCAAGGCAGAAGACGCAAAATTCTTCTAGAAGAAACCGAGCTTTCTCTCCACCCCTTGGAGTGGTGTTTCTACCACGTGACCTCGGCTGAACTACAAGCCGCTGGGTTTCCACTTCCCCAGCGCACGACCCCCTGATCCCGAGCGAAACCCGCGCAGACAGCGGTTTGGCCAGCCTGAAAATACGGCTTCTTAATGTTCACATTCAGTTGATTCCCTTTGTATTTCAGCTTTTATTTAACATCTGCTCTGGTTGTGGCAGATATAAAGGAAACCTCTGCGGAGTTTTTTACTTTGTCACATTTATTACATACTGTATTCTTCATAACAAGTCTTGTTCCGTTGATCTATATGTCAACTCTATACCAGTACTGGAGCCTTGGTGGCGCAGTGATTAAGCGTTCGGCTGCTAACCAAAAGGTCGACAGTTCTAATCCACCAGTCGCTCTTTGGAAACCGTGTGGGGCAGTTCTGCTCTGACCTGTAGGGTCGCTATGAGTCTGAATTGACTCGATGGCAACGGGTTATTATATACTTACATTTTCCTCATTTTGCTTTTGAAAGAAACAGTTCTTTTCAGATGTCTGTGAAAGGGAATTCTTATGTGCGAATATTTTGAATTGAGGAAGACAATTTACTATAGGTTTCTTGCTAGGAAAAAAAAAGACATCTTAAAACATATCATGACAGATATTGGTGTAATCAAAATGCTGTGGTAAGGAAACTTCCAGGAACGTCCAAATTTTGATACAGAGAAGATTTCATTACTTGAAGTACCCCAGCTATTGGCTGTAGCTTATAGGGCTTTGGGGTGGAGGTGGGGGAGTGTCAGGTGAAGAGCTGTTTTGCAGAAGGCAGTTTACATCTCTGTGTGCGCTGAAGAAGGAGTGATTCCTACAAATGCTCTATTTTGTCAACCAGCCCCTCCATTTGGTTTGACTAGCACTTTTATGCAAAAGACTCTCAAATCAAGCTCCAAAAATGAATTTCCAACTGCCTACTTTACGTCTCCACCTGGGTATCTTGCAGGCATTCAGGCTCAACCCGTCCAAAAACAAACTCAGGGCTGCCTCCTCAAACCTACTCATCCTTTTGACTCCCCTGTTTCTGTTACCAACATCATTGGCCACCCAGTCACCTCTGCTTGAAACCACTAAGTGAACTTTGGTTCTTGCCTCTTTACTGCCTTCTCTCATCTGATCAATTGCCAACCCCTGTAGACACTTGTTTCACAATATTTATCACATCCACACCTCCCATCCATTCCCACTGCTGTCATACTGGCACAGTTATCATTTCCTCGCTTCTTATCTGGACTATTGAAAGGTTCTAATTAGTCTTGTAACCTTCAGTGTTCCTCTTATTCCAACTGTCCTGTATTTTGCCTTGCCCGCAGGCTAATCTTCCTAATGAATAGTGTGCATGTAAAAATGGCATGGTGAATCAAGATCATCAGCCCAAGGCTGATTCCAACGAGACGGAGATCAGACATACCTCCTCTCCAACCTTTTTACCAACTCTGACACCAGCCATCCCCCCCACAGCACTCTCTACTTCTCTGCTGGGTTTGTAAATTTGTTGCAATAGCCACACAGCACTCACAGACTATACTCAGGATTATGGAGTTTATTAGGAACGTAACAGGTTACAATTCAGGATCAGGAACGACTCAGGATACAGTTCTTTGGTCAGGACAGCTTCTCAGCTGTGCCTGCAGACAGGCCTCCATCTTGGCCCCTTGGCCTGGCCTCTACCCCACTCAGGGAAGTGTTATGAAGCTCTTTAGCTCTGCCAATAAGTACCTGGAGGCATCCCACTCTGCATGTGAGCCTCCTGCCCAAAGGTGCTCAGCTCTCTTGCTCTGTGGGCTGGGAAGCCCACCATGCCCTCTCACTCCAGTCTCTTGGTTCTGCTGCCAACGTTTCTCTGCCACCGTACTCTACCATGTTTGCCACCTCTTCTTGCCACTTCTCACTGCTGCCATACCATCTCTTGCTGTCTTCAGTGTTACAACTCTCTCTGTCTCCTGGGTCTAGGAGGTTCTCAATGCAGGGACCCCGGGTCTAAAGGATGTGCTCTTCTTAATGGCTGTGAGGTTCCCCCTCCTGCCTCTGGGATTGACTCTCTTTAAGTGTAGAGGTATGGCAAAACTGACCAATCCCCTCATTAGGGTTCCATATACCTTATTTGCATGGTCCCACCTCCACAAGCATTCCATGCACCTTATTTGCATTATCAGCAGGCTGTCCAATCCCTTTAGTGGGCTATAGCATCTTATTTGCATAGTCCCACCCAATCATTGTGGGAGTCACAAAGACCATGGCTGAAAGTGTCATATTAAAGTAATTCACTATACAGCAATACATGTTAGGATTAAGTTCTACTTCCATTCAGGAGTAAAGAAGTGGCAATGAAGGGCATACCCTCTCTCTTTAAGGACTCGTTCTAGAAGTTGCATACGTCGTTTCCCTAAGATTTCACTAACTAGAATTTAGATGCATGACCACACCTAGCTGCAAGAGAAGTCAGGCAATGTAATTTTTATTTTGCACAGGCACGTACTCCGTTAAAAAAAATGAGGCTTCTGTTACTAAAGAAGGAGTCCTGGTGGCACAGTGGTTAAGCACTCGGCTGCTAACCAAAAGGTCAGTGGTTTGAACGCACTAGTGGCTTGGCAGGAGAAAGATGTGGCAGTCTGTTTCCGTGAAGTTTACAGCTTTGGAAACCCTATGGGGCAGTTGTACTCTGTCCTATAGGGTCACCATGAGTTGGAATTGACTTGCTGGCCACGGATTTGGTTTCGTTTTGGTTACTAAAGAAGCAGAGAAGAATGATATTGGAGGACAACTAGCAGCCTTCTTCCTATCACTTCTTGTTTGGTAGCTTTCAGTGGCTCCCCATTGAATTAAGGACATGCTCTTCACCCTGGCATTCATCCTGGCATTCAAGGCCTACCATGATCTGGACTCAGCTCACTCTCCAGCCTTGCGCCTGCTGCACGTGCAGCAGAAATGGGATTGTGTGCTGTTCCTACATTTTTTTTTTTTTTTTTTTTGCCTCCATCCAGTCCAGTTCAGGTACCACTTTCCTCCCAAAACCTTTCATCATCCTCCTGGCTGCTACTCTGCTTGCAGCCCATAGCCTCTTCTACTGTTCCTGCACACCCCAGAGCTGCCTTAGTAGCTAACCCTCAATGCAGAGTGGGAAACTCCCTGCACTACTGGCGCTTTCTTTGGATGTACGTGTGGTGTTGAAGGGGAAAGCAGTGTTTGGGAGTGCCCTATGCCTTGCTGAAGGTACTGATGAATTAGCCAGACTTTCCCTTAGGAAGGAGCTGGTCTTCTGGAGCCTCTTTCAGGGAGGGACTGCTTGCCCTATAGCTGCTCTGCCTGCTTGTGAGGCAAACCAAGAAACAAGTGTCCTCTCCTGGTCTTGGAAACAGT